TGGACGTGGGACTTCCCCACGTCTCATTGGCTATTCCTGGAGTGATGGAGAATTCATAGGAAGTTCCTGGACTTAAGCCTGTGATGGTACGCTCTGTTTTATTTGTTACAATCATCCTCCAGGCGTTGTCCCTCTCATTCTTTACTGCATAGGTGTACTCAGAAGCATCTCTGTCATTGTTTTTCCAGGTCAGGACCACGCTGGTTGGACTGATGGAAACAGCATCAATGCCAAAAACAGGACTTGGTGCTGTTTATAGGTTGTTTTCAAAGACAAAGAAAAGAAAATACGTTCGAAAATACATGTCAGTGTCAGGTCTGCTGTGTCCGCTGTACAAAAGCAAATCTTACAATGTCAGTTTCATTTCTCTTCATTTGCCCCTTACACTTTCCTGCAACAAAGGGGCATTTAAATACAAATATGCACCTGTATATTTTTGTGTCGAGGGGTTTATTCATATCTTCTGCGTTATCCACCTGTTGGCACATAATGGCTCATGATGTCTCTTATTATGCTTTGCATGTCTGTAGTGTCAGTTGTAATGTCTCCTTCATATCTGATATTTACTGAGTTCACAGCCTTTTTTTCTCTAGTCACTTTTCTGGTCACTTGTTACTATACTCACTTCTTTGAATTCTTTCTCTGTCCTCTTCTGAAGTTCACTGAGCTCTGCCATAGGAGTTATTTTGTCAATTTTGTTTCTCTTTTCAAAAACCAGTTTTTCCTTTTGTTGATTTTTGAATTATATTTCTAGTTTCTGTTTTTTTTTCTTTTTCTTTTTCCTTTCTGATCTTTATTATTTTCTTTCCTCTACTAACTCTGGGCACAGTATTTTCTTATTTTTCTGGTTCCGTAGGTGAAACAACGGGCTAAGATCTTTCTTCTTTTTTGATACAGTTATTTGATGCATAAACCTCCATTTTAGAACTCTTCTAGCCATATCCATTAGGTTTGGGCATGCAGTGTTTCCATTTTCATTTTTCTCACTAACTTTTTCTTTCCCTTTTAATATTTTTATGGAACCTCTGATTGTACAAGACAATAATGTTTAGTTTCCATACACTTCTAATTTCCAAAATTCTTTTTGTGTGTGTTTTTGTGTGTGTTTGTGTCTTATTTCTACATAGACAGAATGCCTTTATATTATTTATTTTTTATGTAATCCTGAGGATCAAACTCAGTGCCTCATACATGCTAGGCAAGCGCTCTGCCACTGAGCTACAGCCCCACCCCATAGTTTCCAAAATTCTTGTTACTAATGTCTACTTTTATGTTGTGATGGTTACAAATGATGCCTGAGATCGTTTCAGTATTCTTATATTCTTAAGACTTCTTTAGTAACCTCCCATATGATCTATGCCAGATAATGTCCCATATGCAACTGAGAAAAATGTATATTCTGCAGCTACTAGAGGGAATGTTCTATACACATCCGTTAGGTCAACTTGATTTCAAGTACAGTTCAGGTTTTTTTTAAACTTTGGCACTTTTAATCTATCATTCCACTCGCTCATGGACTGTAACGTTTCTGCTGAGAAATCTGCTCCTGGTCATATTATAAAAACATGATATATTATATGCTTCTTTTAAGATTTCAAGATCCTGTCTTTACCTTTTATATTTGATGGATTAATTATGTGTAGGGGTAGCTTTCTTAGGATTCGATAGGAATAGAGATTTTTCTTCTTATACCTTGATATTTATATCTTTTTTCCAGGTTTGGAAAGTTTTATGCTATCATTTATTTAA